ACGCGCCAGACACCCGAGTGCGTGGATTCTATTCTCCGCAGTCGCCTCTCGTCCTCCCAACTTCCATCCACCCAACTACCCTACCTCACTATCCACCCGCGCCATTTTATTCATTTTATCCGCTCGTCCTCATCTAATGCACACCCACCCCGTAATGCTTTCTCCCGAGACTCGTACCTCCACACCACTCCCCCCCCCCTCCCCACCCTTTGCGACCCCTCGCGACCCCTCGCGACCCCGCGCCAAATTCGATTTACTGAAAAGTGCACATGTGTTTCTCTCCGTCTCTCTCCGTCTCTCTCCGTCTCTATCTCTCTCTCACCCTCTCACCCTCTCACCACCTCACCACCTCACCAACTCACCACCTCACCCTCTAACCCTCTAACCCTCTAACCCTCACCCACAATATACACTCAGCCAGTTCTCTCTTTGCTTGGAAATTCAAGATCCATAGAAATTCTATTGTAGCTGCCTTTTACGTGGTATTATATCGAAAGTCGCGATCGAGGCTTGATCCAGTAATGAGGATTTACAACAACAACAACAACAACAACAACAACAACAACAAAAATTACGTTAAAATCATTAAACTTGACCAGCAATTATACCCTCACCTAAGAAATATTAAATATTAAATATCTCCCATCAACAATATTCTATCTATTAGCAAGATCGCAAGCCCATTCTAAGTAATTAGTAATCTTATTACAACTAGCCTTTAAATTCTAATGTTTAAATAACTTTTAACGAGTGATTAATTATATTAATTAAAAGGCACTTTTATGCCATACTTATAGAATACAAGTCGCTTGGATAAAAGATTGATTTTCCAATTTTCCCGCTGGTTATTATCTTTGCAGACTCTTAAATTATAAAGATATTATTCGTCGATAAATTTGTGATTGATGGCAATACACGGCCAACTGCGTCTTCTCGTCCTTTGTACCTTACACTTTTATCGATTAACAATTGCAATCCTCAAAAATCACTACAAGCACTTAAAATTTCTTATAACTAATAGATTTGCTCTTTTAGATACACCCCTCCCCCTCCCACTCCCCCACCCCGCGCTCCACTCAAACGCGCTCTCTTTACCATTGAAAAACGAGCGAAAAATTATAAAATACCACCACCTCAGCCTCATTTTGCACTGCCAACTATTTCTCGTTTGCGCAATGAACGACTAATTAAGCGTTTTTTTTTTTTAATATCGTTAGAATAATCGAGCGCGTGCGTATAACTAATGCTCCAAATAGCACAGGCTCCATTGTTCGCATAAATCGATCGCGCTTCTCGACCTCTTTATACATGTCCTTTTCTCCCCGACGTTCTATAATGCAGCGCTCGGCAAGATTCTATTCCGCTTCGAGTGCATTACGACTCGTAGGCTGAAATTACTTGTGGAGTCCAGGCGAAACGTCTGGAAAAGTAATTTTTTGGCCATTCGTCGCTCGATCTGTCGAGAGGCGTGTAACTAACTGTCAATTGGAAAATTTAATGTCTCCATCGAGCAGGACTGTCGAGATGATTGTTTGGCGGAATGAGCCCCATAATAATTACAATAATTCGACATCCGTGCATTATTAATGGCGATGTTCTGTTGCCTCGTTGGGCCTAGGATTTCGCTACTCTTCAATGATTTCCGAACTCTTATGTAAAAGTATTTATATAAGAGATTCCTATCGAGCTAAAAATTAATTAAATAGCGCCTCCCGTTTTTTAATATCGTATAGTATACATT